TGGACACTTGCACGGTTGATACGGTCACCTCGTTATTGAGGGTCCCTTTTGTGGTTCCTACGTGGTTTAATTGTTCCAGAGAATAAAATACAAAAATATTCTTGGGAGATCTCACGGTATATGAATATTGCAGCTTTTACGAATCTCTCAGACTACGATTAAGAAGAGTAGAGCAAGTTGGCTTTCCAGTTGGCTTTGACCATTACGATGTTGTAGTTTTGTTTGACGGCGGCAAAAACTCATTTTAAACAGAGCACATATCTTGTGTGATAGCAAATTCTTAGCGAAAAAATACACAGTGAATTACAAATTTAGTGCGACCTAAGCTGGGAGCACTTATAAGTTATTTCTGTCATTTTCTAAAATATTGTAAAACAGAGAATGCAGAAATGAAAAATAAATATATTTGACCGTAAAAAGACAGACCGGGGGCTTTATAATTGATTTTCATTGTACTTGTCCAAAAGTTTCCTTTTTGCCGTTCGTTGTAATCAAACTCTTTGTTTTTCGCAGTGGGTTTTATTGACTTAGCTGTTCACCAACCTGTGTCCGGAACATTAAGAGAAAACTTATATGGCTTTCATCAGACACGCTATCTCAAGGGGTTAAGGCTTGCATTTAACCAACAGAGCTTATTGTGTTTTGGTAGAGAAAAGTGAGGAATTTCAAGATTTTGAGTCCAAAAAGACCGTTTTCTCGTCTCTTACCAGTCAGGGCGTTGACGGCAAAACTCAGGAGAAAATCAATTGAAAACGTGAAAATGAATCAAACAACAAAAAGCTGGAGTAACACAGGTGATAAAAATTCCTCATCACCGTGTCTCTATCGCGCAGACTATGTTTACTTATTTAAAGTCGCTTACTACGCGTTGCTTTTATGTGGTGCTGTTCTCTACATCATGGTTGTCTTTGTCATGGTTCGAAGTGGTAAGATACAGCAATATACGTATAGACGAATATACGAATATTTCAAGCTCTCTTGATTTTCCATTTATCTGTCACGCATCTACTGCTTCTCTTGAGCGTTCCAATTTTTTGGAACATTCAATTCTCCAAGGGTAACTCTTCATCATCCAAGGCTCTCGGGCTCATCGACTACGCCTGCGCGGCACTGAGCCATTTTCAACAGTTTGGTCGCGATCGCCTGGGACCGACACAGAAACGTCTTGCGGCTTTTTGATAGATTGGCACCGAGACATTTGAAGACATATTTTAAACTGGTTGCTGCCATTTGGATTTACGCCTTTATAACGTCTGTTCCTTTATTTATAGCGTTAGGACACACACTGAAGTAATTTGCTCTAAAGAGAACAACGGCACGGAAACTTGTAAAGAATATAGCTTCTGTGATTTGCCTTTAGATTGAAAAACCCAGCTATCTAAAACAATCTACTTTTTGCTGGCGTTTGTTATTCCTTTAATGTACATGTTCCTCACCTACACAAAGATTG